CGATGGTTTCTTTGGCTTTGCAGAAGCTTGTCAGTTCAATGAGGTCCCACTTGTCTATCTTATCTCTTATGGTCCGTGTGTTTCAGGTTTTGTTCAGGAATTGGATGCCAGTTCCAATTTCCATAAGGGTGTGAGCTGCATTTTCTAAGTTTCTTTTGGTTTGAGGTTTTACATTTAGGTCTCTGATCCATTTGGAGTTAATTTTTGTGTATGGGGATAGATAGGGATCTTGTTTGAATCTTCTACATGTGGTCAGCCAGTTTTCCCAGCATTTACTGAATAGGTTCTCCTCTCCCCAGTGGTAGGTGGTGGAGGCTTTGTCGAAGATGAGTTGGTTGAGAAATTGAGGTTTTACTTTTGGAATCTCAATTCTATTCCATTGGTGTATATGCCTGTTCCTGTACCAATACCAAACTATTTTGATTATTGTAGCTTTATAGTAAAGTTTGAAGTCTGGTAATGTGATACCTCCTCTTTTTTTGCTGAGGATTGTTCTGGCTATTCTTGGTTGTTTGTGTTTCCATATGAATTCCTGTATTGTTTTTCCTAGGTCTAAGAAGAATGTTGCTGGTAATTTGATGGGAATTGCATTAAATCTGTAGATTGCCTTAGGTAAGATGGACATCTTCACAATGTTGATTCTTCAAATTCATGAGCATGGGATAACTTTTCTTTTTAAGGGTTGGCCAAACATGGTGGATCATGCCTGTAATCCCAGCACTTTGGGAAGCAGAGGCGAGAGGACGGCCTGAGCCCACAGGTTCAAGAGCAACCTGAGCAACATGGCGGGACCTTGTCTCCCCAGTAAATAAATAAAAATTAGCCAGGCATGGTGGTGTATGCCTGTGGTTCCAGTTACTTGGAAGATTGAGGTAGAAGAATCACCTGAGCCCAGCAGGTTGAGACTGCAGTGGCCGTGAGTGTGCCACTGCACTCTAGCCTGGGTGACAGAATGAGACTTTTTCTCAAAATTAAAAAATTAGCCAGGTGTGGTGGGGTGCACCTGTAGTTCCAGTTACTTGGAAGGCTGAGGCAGGATTGTCTGAGCCCAGAGGGTCGAGGCTGCAGTGGCTATGAACATGCCACTGTGCTCCATCCTGGGGCAACAGAGTGAGACTCCAACTAAAGAAAAAGTGTTATATGCAGAAAGGGATTCATTGTATCAATATTTTAAAACAAGTAAAATTGGAAACAATAAGTAAATAAGGTAATAGTTAAACATATATATATATATTTAACTCGACCTGCTGGGCTCGACCTGCTGGGCTCAGGCGATCCTTCTACCTCAGCGTTCCAAGTAGCCAGAACTACAGGTGTGCACCACCACGCCCAGCTAATTTTTTGATTTATTGTAGAGATGAAGTCTCGCCATGTTGCCCAGGCTAGTCTCAAACCCAGAGGCTCAGGCAATCCTATCGCCTCCACCTCCCAAAGGGCTGGGATTACCGGCATGAGCCACCTCACGTGGTCAATATGTTAATTTTTTAAAGCAGATATAATCTTGAGTTGTATTCTATTTATGTTCAATATATAATGTATGGATAGACCAGAAGAGAACAAGGGAAATAAAACTAGTGTTGAGGGATTTTCCTCAAAGTATACTCAAAGTTTTTGTTTTTTGTTTTGAGTAGGAATCTCAGTCTGTCACCTAGGCTGGAGTGCAGTGGCACACTGCTCATAGTCACTGCAGCCTCAACCCGCTGGGCTCAGACGATCCTTCTACTTCAACCTTCTAAGAAACTACAGGCACATGCCACCATGCCCGGCTACTTTTTTGATTGATTGTAGAGATGAGGTCTCACCAAGTTGCCCAGGTTGGTCTTGAACCTGAGGGTTTAGGCAATCCTCTCATCTCAGCCTCCCAAAATGCTGGGATTATAGGCATGAGCTACTGCGCCTGTCCTCAATGCTTTTATTATTTATTTATTTTTGAGTTGGAGTCTCACTCGGTCGCCCAGACTGGAGTGCAGTGGCCACTCCCAGCCACCACAGCCTCAACCTGCTGGACTCCGGCAATCCTTCCGCCTCAGCCTTTCGAGTAGCTGGAATTACAGGTGCGCGCTACCACGCCCGGCTGATTTTTTGATTTATTGGAGAGATGAGGTCTCGCCAAGTTGTCCAGGCAGGTCTCGAACCCGCAGGCTCAGGCAATCC